CTATCAAAATCTACGTGACTGTCCTTATCGGTTGAGTCTATATACCTGCATATGCTGTTAAAGTCTTCCACTTGAATCGATACGTAAGAGTAATCTCTACGTACGAACAATTTCAAGAACGAGGCAAGCTATTGACAAACGGGTTGATGACACAAAGGATTTCAACAGTCGTTTACTTAAGAAGGCTGGGGTCAACAAATGAATCACCAGATATAACTTATTTTTTAGATATGGTATCTTTTAAAGTTGTCAAGTATCATTTGGCAAAGAATTTTTTTTTAATTAGTTTTAAAATTCGATCATTTCTGTATATCTTCATATGGAGCTCGTCTTCTAAAGGAGATCAATATAGTCTAAAAATGGCCACAACCCCAGCCCCTATAAAGTCAACATTTGGAAAGTTCTATGAACGATACAACGACCCTGACAGTACATAAGTCTAATCATTGAGTCAAATGCTGACTGGTGTGTTTCATACTAATATAAGGTCATTATTTACATACTGAATTCTCTTTTTTCGCTTGCCCGACCATGACAAGGACAATCGGCGGGTGTGACCGAGAATGTTACTCCTCCATGGCACATGATTAAACCTCTGATGTTTTAAAAGCTCCGTGTTTGCTCTGCTCTTTATTTTAATAATTTTGCAGTTTGATTTTAATACTATATTGGTTTGAATATATTTTAATTTATTGAATGAAATATGGAGGCAAAACAGAGTAGTGTTGCTCAAAATACTGAAGTAATACGGCGGATGTGACCTTTGACAGGGGATGTTTACTTCCCCGTGGTGCCTGATCCCATCACTAATGTGTTTAGAGATCCATTTTTGTTTTGCTCCCGATTACAATTGTTTAGATGGACTTTTGTGCTTGATTACTGTACGTTGTCATTTCACTGACAAAATTAGAATTACCAGCTTACATTTGTAATTAAAATCAAAGTTTAAAATGTTACACATTTAACATAAAATATCAAATTTCTTAAACAGTTTCAAATGTACAGAGGTAAAAGGGAATACAAGAAGGTTTTAGCACGATTAGTGCAGTTTGTGACCTTGTCATGGGCACCGAGCTTTAATTTGAATGTGTAGACCCAAAGTATCTCTATTATGAGAACCATCGAGATTGGTCTTCGTAATCAATGTTTTCATGTGTATATTAAGGCCTCAAGTTATTGTTTCTGATTTTAACATTGGATTTGGAAGAATAGAGGAAATCATTTCCCAGATATTGTAAAAGTGAAACTTTGAACTTAATCCTTTTTCCCAATTTTGCAATTCAAACTTGTCACCTTTATTTTTCATTTGACTGTATCTTGTCATAATGCCATGTTCGGGTAACAGTTCATGGAGGGGTAATATGACTACGTTTAGCAAACAGCATCAAACTGGGTAATATACTGTTCAATCTGCAGGTTTGTTTGCCTGAAGAAGCACCTAACATGCTGACACACATGTTTTCTATAATCCGATAAGGCCAAAATAAAAAATACCTTTGTTTCTTATGTACGACTCAATTAAATCGCACCGACTGAAAAGATTTTTTAAATAAGAAGATTTAATTTTTTTTTTTGTTAACTAAGTTTCATAAAATACAATTTTCAAAATCAGTTTTTAGCAGAACGGCCGACATTGTTCTACTGTGATTTGTTGAAGAAAATGGCGCCAAGATGTGATTACTGAGAAAAAGTTATTAATAAAACAACGGCGACGTCTCAATCTTATGACTTTAGCTAACTAGAATTCTTCACTCTTGAAACAATTTGATAATAAAATTTACCACGACAAATTAAGAGTGTTTCGGAGGTGTCTTGGCCTCTCCATGTGAGTGAATAAATTTTCGAAAGGGTCGGTAAACAACAAACAAACCTTTCTGTTGAATCTAAAGTACGTAATACATGGTACATGTAAGTCCCGCCTAATGAACACATCATTCAATTTCACTGCTTTTTATTTAATTCACCAGATATAACTTATTTTTTAGATTTGAGTTTTGATCTAATAACCAGTTCAACTATGTTCCTATGTTTACTATATGCCATTACGGAACCATAGGAGTTGTTGTAAATATACATATTCATCCTGATAAATATAATTTAGATTTTCTCTCTTTAATGCCTTTATTTATGGGTTAAACTTCGTGACTATGACATTGTATATACATGTACCATTTTTATCATTTGTAGATTCGGTTTAAGTCAATTAAATATTGTTTAAATACTCTTTACAAATAGTTTTGAAATCATGATTCAGCTTCCTGAGACGCCCAGTGTATTTTTATTTACTTACGCCCTCAAAGATTGGTTGTTTCTTTGCTTTTAATCCCTTCGAGATTTGTTTGGACGACATTTGAACATTTCCCCATTGCTCCAAATTTAGACGTACTCAGCACTTTTATGCCATTAAGCATTTTTGAGCCAGCAACTTTTGCGAGACTGGACATAAGTTTTATGGTTCCTTTTGAAAGACTGTTTTCAACGTTCCTTATTGGTAATTGGACCTGCGACTTAAAATTAGACACTTACTTCTTAACTCTAAAGCAAAATGCTCTAGAAACACTGCAATTCTGATGGCCCTCAAAAAGTACATTGATTGTGTATAAGCACTGGGGGCTGATGGAAGGTTTGAAAAAATATACTCGGATGTCCGGTCTTTGCGTATTTGAGAATCTTGTCTGTATCTATTCAATCTATATAAATGTACTCTGGCGTGAGATATCTCACAAGTTCAAATATAAATAACAGTTGTAAATTAATTAATCATCAACTTTCCTTTAACATGTTTAAACAGCATATGTTTGATACCTAGCATTTTGTTCCCAAATCGCTTTCTTTTGTACTTTTCTTACTTAAAGTTTTTTCAATTAAATCTTAGAAGGTATTTTCAAAACTGCTGTCATAAAATAAAATTGTTTACCTACCTACCGACCCACGTTGAAAATTCAAGGTCAGGATAGGGGAAACAAAGATATTTTTAATTCCGGCCTCAGTATTTTTCTTATGTACACTCTAAATGAGATGAAAAATAATTTCCTACTTGTAAAATGAGTTTTGGCACGTCGTGGCATATGATCATATTTTGGCCGACAAGCTGACTTGTGACTATTTGGACTGTTAGGATAAAATAGACTAATTGACGACATTTATCATCTCAGGACTTTGTACAAGCAAGCTCTGGATGTTTTAAAACAGTTTCAAAACAATACATTATATGATTGACTACAAAAAATATATGTATATGAACAAACAGAAAAGACATATTTATACCAATGTTAGACAATAAACTAAATGTAATCTAGAAATACTTGATTTCAAGCAGCAGTAAATATATACTAGTATATTGTACGGTGTAAAAGGTTTGTTGTCAGAAATCTTTTAGAATGAAAATCAACTTCACAATCGATCCCACATTTGTTTTCTAGATTGATTGATTGTATGTTGTTTAACGTCCCTCCCGAAAATATTTCACCCATGTGGAGAGCTGCAAATTTTGTTCTATACTCGGCACTGAGGGCCAGTGAGCAGGGAGGGGTCTTTTTCGTGCCAGCATCTACTGCGACACGGGACCTCGGTTTATATGGTCTCATCCGAAGGACCGGTCTCCACGTCCCACAGTGAGATTCGAACCCGCGACGTAAGGATTTACTCCTTAATTCGCGATTCTAGAGCAGGCACTCTAATCAATGCGTCACGCGGGCTATCATTTATTCTCTTGAGGAGAACAACTATTTCATTTATAATGAGATCATTATATATATGGATATAAATATCTTAGATTGAAGTTATTTCATATTTTGTAATACTAGTAACTAAAATTGATGCTTGCTTTAAAACCTGCACTAATTCGGATTCAAAGCTTACATGGAAACCACTAGAGGGTGCAGAAGTAGGACATGTTCCCAAATTTCCATTCTGGTAGAATTTCATCATATTTGAGATACTTTTCTCTTCGGAAAACATATCTAGCACAAGCTTGCCTATCTGAGATTTTTACACATAACTGCATCTGATACTAGTTGATTAAATATATAAAATCGGTAGATAGGCATGCCTGTGCTCTATGTTTTTATGCCGTAAAGTCAATGAAAATTTGTATAAAAATGAGAAAATTTGAGAATTAACCTTTTTTCTCACCTCTATGTGACTTCTGCGTATTTCCAAACTTAAAACCAATGCTCATTTTGTGGGAATGACAACAGATTTCTATGGATAAACTGTTGCATCATTCTGTAGGACACCCAAAATCAGTGGCCAATAACGGGCCTTGCCCTATCTTGTCCTTTGTTATATACTCGGCACTATACTCGGCACTGAGGGCCATTGAGCAGGGAGGTGTCTTTTTCGTGCCAGTACCTACTGCGACACGGGACCTCGGTTTATAACCCGCGACGTAAGGATCAACTCCTTACTTCGCGACTCTAGAGCAGACACTCTAACCACTGCACCACGCGGGCGACTGTGCATCAAAGGAAGTAAGTAATAATCTTAAGATGTATTCATTTTATAGTTTGTTTTAATTTGGATCTCTCGATCAATATACATAACTCTATAATCATTACTAAAAGCAAATCAAATAATTTCATTTGTCTCTAAATCGTCAAAAATAAATTAAGTAAATGATTTCATTTGTCTCTCTAACATTAATCGATCGTGATTATTTTGGACTACCCTTACAAGTGTATGATTCTGTCGAGGACAACACGCGTACGTCATATATTGTCCCTTTCGTTTATATAGTATTCGCATTCTTTTTCATAAGATGTTTTGTAATTAGAAAAGTCTATCTGTTCTTCCTGCTGGGACTTTTCTATTTTTTTCAGTCGAACTCCAGAAAATGAAAAAGGAAATGTCTTATGTAGTACATAAATGTAAGTCTTCCATCATGCTGCTTCTCTCCACTTTCCGTCTTAGTCTATGTAGTACAAACGACTTCCGTCCTTTTGTCACGTGGTTAGGAAAGAAAGGCGGGATAAACCAAATGAACCCTATATATTTAAGTGAAATGGTTGACAACTCTTTAAAACACATCGAGTTTGACTACAAGTCTTAACCATGAATGCGCTTAGCAACAGCGCGGGAATATTTAATTATACGAACATGGACTCGGGATCGGAAGGCAATAGTTCTTTGCAGCCAAACTTTATCTCCAATGGAAGCTTTAGCAATACCGAAAGTGATCTTCTTCACATAGAAACACTGGAACAAGCCTCGGCCTATCTCTGGATATGTGTTTCTCCCATATTTCTTTTTGTAGGAATATTTGGAAACATTTTAAACTTGTTCGTTTTGCGGAGAATGCGATTTGAGAAAAATCCCACCTTAATTCTGCTTGTTCTCCTCAGTGTTACAGACATGACCGTTCTTTTAGTAGGTCTGCCCAGATATTGGGCCCGGGAGGCCTTTAACTTTGACCTGCGAACAGTTTCTCAATTTAGCTGCAAGTTCAGTTTGTTTCTTATATACACTTCTATGCAGTTGTCCTCATGGATTCTTGTGATGGTGTCAATTATTCGCATGATCAAAACCGTGTTACCCTTACATTTTCCCAAAAATAAAATGAGAGTGACTCGTAGAAACACGCTGGTGGCATTTGCTATAGTAGTTGTAGTACTTTGTATTGTCAACTTTCATCTCTTCATTACCAATGGCGTCTTGACAGAGGACGGGGACTCCTCGTGTACTTCTCTTACAGAGGACTACCTTTATTTCGACGAATATGTTTTCGTTTACATTGACTTTCTCGTTCTTTCAGTTTTTCCCGCAATAATTATCATCATCTGCAATATTTTTATTTATTTTGTTCTGAAAAATTTGAAACAAAGACGCTCATCGACATCTTCCATGGAGAAAACTACAACAGATTCCGTCTCGAGAGTTACACGTATGCTTTTTGTCACGAGTACATACTTTGTCATAGCTACTGCTCCAATATCTGTCCATTTCATTGTTGATTCTTATGTGCGACCCGAGGCGGATGAACTGACTGAAGCAAAACTGGACTTATCTTTCACAGTTCTTTATTTATTCGAATTTTCTCATTTCGTCATCAATTTCTACTGTTATACAGTCACCAACAAAAGATTTAGAAGAACCTTACACAACCTGAAGGATGATGTGAGAAATAGGTAGGCACAATGGCGATTAGAAGTGTATATAAATTATGTAATACAATGTATTTTATTTAAAAAATAAGTGACACTCTTAGTCTAGGAACACATTGACTTTTGAGATACTTTGGGTAAAATAGCGGTACTTTGTATCGTAACTCAATTATTCGGTGTCTGTTGCTATCAGGCATTTCATGTCATTTTTGAAGTACACTTATCTAATTCATATTTTTGCTCTGTTTTCTCACAGTTTTACTCTTAAAAGTACTTAAAAAGTGTCCTTTTTGTATTTTTTAAGTAGAAAAATTAATAGCTATAAAACAAACGTTATCAATGAATATGAGATATAATAGAAAATTATATTATGAAAATGCATTTATTATTACTCTGAAACCAAATTGAGTTTTACAATTTAGAGAGTTTGTTTCTTTTCTTTTAGAATTTTCCGACAGAGCCGAGTGCCGTCTGACTCGTATGATGTGAACAGCACCATGGATTCAAACAAAAAGTGCTCAGGCAGTGCGGTATCTAAGTCAACGTAGTCTACATTCCTAACTTTCCCGCCAATAAACGAAACGGGAAGTCCGTCTACTTTGAAACCGGAGAAACTCTTAGCTCGCGAAGAATTTGACATTGGACATTTTTATAGGTTTAGTTCAAAATGTTCCTTGAACTTCTGGAAAACGTGTTAATCGAAGACAAATTTACAGAGGCATTCTTTGTTACCATTTGTTGTATGTATTATAAAGTATGGATCTTGGACAAGTACACTAAATATCTTAAAATATCTTGTACGCTTTTTAATTTGAAGCCCTATAAATAAAAAGTTTTCTTGGAAAGGAAGGTGATAATTTGATTTAGATATTACGAATTACTTTCAATGTCATACAAATTCAAGTGCATACTTAATTTTTTCGAGGGGATGCAGAATTTGATTCATGCAATAATTTAGCTTATTTTTGGGGTTAATCGACATTTTTTTCAAAAGTCAAAAGATTCTTAGGTATTGTACTCCTTATTAACGCAGCTTTTAGGTGTTATCTTAAGATTGCACAAGTTCCTTGTTGTAATAATGCCCTTGTAAACCAGACATTTGGAACAAAGAAGGGTTAACAGGACACAAAGCCACAACCCGGAAACATCCGGGACCTGTTTCCTTCATTATTCATTATATAGAGAACAAACAAGGTCAAATCATTAGTAGTTAATGTACAATTGTACATGGCTAAGTCTTTATAACAGATTTTTACCGTATTTATGCATATTCAATGTCTCGAATCCATCCAAGTTAATTTGATCAAAACTGAAAGAACAAAGTGTTCTCCGACTTTCAATAATAATGTAAATCAAAAATTTGTGCATACCTGTAAATGGCTTTTATTTATGTGATGTTACAACGCATTGTTGTTTTTTTTTTCTTTTTTTATTTGAAATAATTTTGCCAATAAAATTATTGTGCTTTGCTTCTGACTTATTTGCTATGTTACGCCGTTGTCCCCGGCCGCAACGGAGGTAGGTGAATTAATAACGCAATCGTGTGTTTAAGTTAGTGCTGTGCTTAACGATAGTGACGTAGTTTGCATCAGGGGCCCGTTTTAAAAAAGAACTTACGACTAAGACCAAAAAATTTAGATGATTGTTAAGTTTTGCAAAATTGATAATTCTCTTTAAAATGATTTGTGTAAAAATATCTTACCACATTTCTTTTAGAAAGATTTAAAAAAAAATTGTAATGTTTTTCAAAAAGTTATATGAAGAATTCAATTTTGTCTTAAGTCGTAAGTCCCTTAGTAAAACGGGCCCCTGGATCGATGTCGAATGCTCTTTTGACTTTGCATGGGAAGCTCCGTTTTGCGGTGCCCTTCATGCGCGGATCTAGAGGAGGGGGTCGGGGGGTCAGGACCCCCCTGGAATTTACACAGTAAAAAATGTATATACTAAAGCAAGAAAAAAGTTACCATGGACCCCCCTTGGAAAACGCTGACCCCCCTGGTAAACGCGAATAGGTGTGAAATTGGTATGAAAAGTGAAAGATTTGAGGCAATAGAAGTCATAGCCTACCCCCCCCCCCTCCCACACACACACACACACACCCTCACACGCACACGACATAGTTTTTTTATGTCTGGGCGAGTTTATATTTTTTTTTTTTTTTTTTTTTTTTTGCTTGTCAAGAAATTTCTGGTTTGGATTTTTTTTTGACTAGGGTGGACACCCCCTGGAAAAAAATTTCTGGATACGTGCCTGCCCTTGTTGCAGCCTGGGGGACAGGGCTGCTCTATACATATAAGTTTTAAGTTTAGGTTGTATGGAATTGAGGTGGGAGAAGTTATTCAGAATTAAAGTTTCACTATACATTAAAAAGATTATACATCTCACAGAATGTTCTTATACGGAATCTTTCCCTTTATAAAATGTTTTTACTTCCATGAAGTACATCTTTAAAGATGTTTTTCAAATATAAAGTTACTTATCATTTAATATCAATAAAAACAAACAAGAAGTTTCTTTTTTAGAACATTAAATTTTACTTATCGCATTTTAAAAGACTTATGTTACACATATCTTTATCAATCAAATCGAAGCGGTTTCAAGTTCCATTGTTTACTCCATTTATTTCCCGGGCGGCAATTTAATTGTTACAATTTTTTTTCTAGTTTTAACAAGTTATGGGGTAAAGTTACAGCTACATTATTACTTCTTGTAATTTTTTCAATTTCAATGTCTAAAGATTTGTCTTTGAACACATTTCCTGGTTGGGGTAAATGACATATTCGGTGCCAAAAAAAAAATCTCATCAAAGACTACCTTACCGTTTTTATCAAACTGTTTATATTATTTTATGCAGATGATACTGTTATCATGTTGTAAATTTTGAATTTACTAGGGGGAGGTAAATGCAAAATTTACAACAAATTTTGCATTTACCTCCCCCTAGTAAATTCAAAATTTACAACATGATACTGTAACTGTATTTTGTCTGAAACTGCAAGTGATTTACAACATGCATTAATAAATTACTGTATTTACGTACTTGATTTAAAAAAGATATAATAGGTTTTTCTTGTACGTAAATCTGAAACTTTAAATATATATTTGAAGATGGGTAGTCATCTTACAAAATAGATCTGCACAGGAAAATTAATTTTCTAGCAATTGATAAACCATCATTCTTTATGGAATCATATCCCGGGCCAGTATAATGAATGCTATTTTTATAAAGAGCTTTTTCTCGGGCGATATAAACATTTGTTATACCTTTTAAGATCTGTTCCTATACAAATCTGTACAAAAAAAGTATAATATTTCTAATGTTTTGCTGAGCGGGCGTAAAAAAATCGATGTTGGACCGCTGAGTGTGAAATGAGATAAAGCTCCGCCCATTCTGTTATATAAGCGGTCCAATATCTCATCGACCGGTCCAACATCTCACTCAGTGGTCCAACATCGATTTTTTATACCCGCTCAGCAAACATTAGAAATGTTAGACTTTTTCGTATAGATTTGTATAGGCACAAATTTTCAAAGGTTTAACAAAATATGTTCTTGCCTCTGACTGTGTACTGAAAATATTTGTACATTTGTATTTTGTATCATATCTGGGTGTTTGGGCTTTAATCATGTGTTTAATAATTACCTGTAAATATATATCTCGATAGAAGTTCAAAAATAATATTTTTTCCTTTAAAAAGTCGTTTAAAAAGACATCCATAAGTAATCACAAGCTTAGTACAAAACAATTAAATAAGACGGTGACACAAGTAGCTACAAGAGGTCCAATCTCGATCTTGTGATCACGTTTCAACAAGTGCCACTTGTGTCACATTATTAACCCGCGTGTTCTGACCAGTTTTATAACATAAATAATGCGGAAATTTAACAGTGAAGATGGGTCTATTTGAACTTTTGTTTTCAAATAAAAAACTGAAACTACAAGATATTACTTCGTGGTACAATAAACGTACAAGAGCCGTCTTACTTTTTGACTTGCACTTTAATGTTTTCACAATGTACGTGCTGGTTCTGTGGTACACATTGGATCAATTCTGTCATTCAAATGAAATTCAATGCGAGTATATTTGGGATATGATGTAAATTAAAATTAGAAACTTGTATTTCGAATCCCCTCCCACTCCTCGAGACGCGGTAGCTGATTCAGAACATCTAATTTTGATTAATTAGATTAGATGTGAATAAAGTGTAGACACTAAAAAAATTCTAGAAAACTTTCACAAAATTTAAAATCACATATTGTTTTTTTTACAAAATAAATTTTAATTCAAAGCTTATACAACCGCAATGGAGAGAACGATCATAGACATTTGTACCTGCTGTTAAATCCATTTCATTAATTTTAATGAATATATTTTAAACCAACCGGAATGGTCAGGCTTCTTGGCATCATTGACCCTTATCACCTCCATGTGAAGTTGATTCGATACGCAAGAGCTTGCATTTTTTTAAAACAGGACAAGCTGTTGACTACCAGGTTGATGAAATAAGGTTATCAACAAAGTCAGGCATTTGCAAATTCTAAATTGGACATAATAACCTTGTCAGGAAATTCAATCTTATATTCAGTTGAATGCCGACTGATGCTTTTTATGGTAAGTTAGGCTATTGCGTACACACTAAATTATCTATAGACTTCTTCCATTTGCCTGCAGCTGAGCATGACAAGAAGTACTCGGCAGGTGACAGCCCGAAAAGGGATGCTTACTATTCCGTGGTATCTGATTCCACCGGTGATGTTTCTAAAGGTCTGTGCTTGGTCTTCTGAATAAACTTCGAATTCCAACAGTATCAGAAATCTTTTGTGGGCTTTTAAAATAATTCCGTTAACTATTGTATTTTTGTGTAGATGTCCTTGCATTTGAACAAACTTACAAAGGACACTTTGTGTCAAATTGGTTGAAATTGGTCTTGAACCCTATGGAAAAGATTAAAAAAAAACGTTTCAAGTACTAGTATACAAACAACATTACATGTAAATGAATGACGTTGAAAACTCGTACTGTACTGGTTTGCTAAGGTGTTGCCACAAGTAAATAAAAGTTTGCCATGTGCAGATTTACACTAGATCTATCTTCTGATCTAAAATCTAAATTTTAAATATACAGACGAATTTTTACACATGAGATCAAATGAGAATCCAGCTTTGTAAGAATTCGCAGATTTATAAAACATTAAAACATGCAGTACTTTATATGCAGTTATTTCCCTGGGAAATGGCTTGTCCAAATTCGTCTAAGTCAAGCACCAACTGGTACATCTTTCTATAAAAAGCTGTTTGTGCTTTGTAAAACCGCATACCACGTCTTTATTTCCTTCTTTGACAAAAATTTAAAAAAAATACTCCGTTGTCCTTTTGAAATGATGTTCCGGAAGCACTCGAACTGAGAGCAAATGAAGACCTCTTTGAAATTTAGCTCACGCGGCCCAGTCTTTCCTGATCGAAAGTTGTCCGACGCCCTTCTCCCCGATCTCTGTAATTTTTTTTTTTTTACATTTCCAGACAACACCAGTCCAATTCTAACCAAATTTGCCAAAAAGCATTTTTCGCTCCGTAGATTAAATTTTGTTCAACTAATGAGCTACGCTTTCTTAAGATGAGAAAAGAAACCCATATCCATGACCTTTGGGACTAAAATTGGACTTCATGCTCAGTAGGTTCAAGTAGGCATATCTATACAATTATTCATATTGACATCATAAGTAATTATGGTGGCATATTTCTGCCCCCTACATGCAAGATAAATTATGTTAACATGTAACATAATTATGTAGACATGCAACATAATTATGTCAACAAGCAAGTTAATTATGTTGACATGCAAGTTACCAATCTTATCAGAAAATATAATTTAAATATGGGCAAATTTACTTACTAACGCCTGTATCAAGTTATTTTTCTATCAAATATGTATTATATGGTGGCATATTTCTGCCCCCCCCCCCCTTACATGCAAGATAAATTATGTTAACATGCAACATAATTATGTAGACATTCAACATATTTATGTCAACATGCAAGTTAAGTATGTTGACATGCAAGTTTCCAATCTTTTAAACAAAATAAAATTTACTTACTAACGTCTGTTATTATGTAGACATGCAACTGATTTATGTCAACATGCAAGATAATTATGTTAACATGCAAGATATGTAAGTTGATTTGCAACTTATTATCTTGCATGTTGACATAAAATATCTTGTATGTAAAAACATAACTCGCATGTTAACATAACTAAGTCGCATGTTGACATAAATAAGTAGCATGTCAACATAATTATCTTGCATGTGAACATAAATATCTTGCATGTGAACATAAATATCTTGCATGTTAACATAATTTACTTGCATGTTGACATGGTTATCTTGCATGTTGACATAAATAAGTAGCATGTCAACATAATTATCTTGCATGTGAACATAAATATCTTGCATGTGAACATAAATATCT